ACCTTTAGCCCTTTACTTCCTATTTCACATTATTAATTATCTCATTAGGATCCTGTGTACTATTATAGTTTTTCACACCAAAGAAACTATTCGGTGTTTCAGTTAAAGAAATCTCTGTATGAACATTAAAAATAGGGAATCCTAAAATAAAACTAAAAAGGAAAGTAAAAGAGTAAAGGCAATGATGTAACATTAAAATAATCCTTAATTCTGGGATGAAAATGGTCCCCGAACATATTTAAATTGCTTCTTGCTCTTATAGTCTTATCTTATTCTTTTTTTCATTATTTACAGAATACTTTATTAGTTTCTGTAATCAAACCCACGTAGATATGACCTTACATATTCAATACAGTGCGTTACCCCCGTACACATGGAAAAAAAATAAAAAATAAAAAATAAAAATAAAAATAAATTAACATTTCTAGACCAATATGGCTGTCCATTTCTGTACAATGCCAACTCAACACAGTAAATTGGGATGACTTTTTCCAGAGTTGGCAGACGGTGCTTCTATTTTTAATTTTTTTGAGATACTTGCATGGTTTTCCATTATAGCCGTATTAATTTACATTCCCATCAATAGTATGTAAGATCTCCCCTTTCTCCTCATCTCATTGTTATAATTTAGATCTAAAATATCCCCTCACAGTCTGTGTTCAGAGGTGGGACTTTTGGAAGGTAATTGGCCCTTGGGGATACTGAATTTACCAGTGGATTAATCCATTGGCAAGTTCATTCCATTGAATGCAGTTAGGAGGTGGGGTTCAGCTGGAGGATGTGGGTCACGGGGGTGCAACTCTGCAGGGTATCTTCTCTGGCTCTTCCTCTCTCACTAATTCCTGGTTGCCACGGGTTGACCAGCCTTTCTCCACCAGGCTCTTCTACTATGCCATTCTGCCTTGGATCCAGGTGATTATAGACTGAGCCCACTGAAACTGTGAGTCAAAAATAAAGCTCTCCTCAAATTGCTGGTGTGAGGTACTTTGTTCCAGTGATGGAAAAGCTAATGAATACAGCATCTTTCCTCTTTTCAACAATAGTCATTTGGCTAGAATGATGTGCTATTTCATTGTGGTTTTGATTTGCATTTCCCAGATGACTAGTGACGTTGAGCATTTTCTCACTAGTTTGTGCCCTGAAAGTCCAGCAGAAGAAATTATAGCTTGCCATGCTTTTTAGTGGTTGGTTCAAATCTAGGGACACAGCAACTACTGGGACACACATGAGCTGGGACTGGTGCACAGGAAAGCAGGCAAGCAGGATGGTAGAAGTCTCTGCATAGTCCAATTCCACTTAATCAATACTTACAAATAGCCTTCTGTATAATACAGCCAGTGCTATATGACAGAAATATGAAGGAAACAAGACAGTCACAGCTACATTCATGAGGGTACTACAGTCTTGTGGGGAAAATTAAAGGGACTGGGGATAATTTCCCAGAGAAGGCTTATAGAGAACAAACTGTAATAATAATAATATGTACTAAGTGTTCACTCTGTGACAACACTATACTCAATGCTTTACCTGTCATTAGGGACTTAATTCTTGCCATGCTCTGAGGCAGGTGCTATAATTAATTTCATGTAATGAAAATGAGGCACAGGAAGGTTGAGTAAATCAACCACAACACCATACAGTGATTCTCTGTGATCCAGAGGACTGGATAGGCCATCTTATGAAAGACTATACTTAAGAGGGCTAATATGGTAGTATCTGATCCTATAAGTAGGTGCTAAGTAAATATTTCTTTCCTTGTCTCTGAAGTCATTCTAGAATAAGCTGGATGATCACTTATTAGTGGTACTAGAGAGGGAGGCTGAGTGTCAGGTGGGTAGAAATACTGTGTATCTAACCATGAGTATCTAACTCCACTTTTCCTGGAATAAGTATTTCCCTTCTTGGCAGTAATATTATAAGGTAATTATCAACCACTTCTGAATTCCCACACCCCGACAATCGCAGCACAGATGGGATATGAGCCAAATTATAGGTGACCAAAACCATTAATTAACTAATATTGATTGCCTATGATACAGAAAGCATACTGTTCTGAGCTCTAAGTCAATGTGCACAGTAGGAAAGAGGCACATGAAAGGGTTCACACCTGAGATTTGGTCCTGACTTTGTCATTAATTTACTGTATAATCTTGGTTTTCATCCCCATAATAAGGGGGTAGAAATATTACCATTAATGCCATTTCAACTTGAACAACTGATATAAATTATTTGCACTCAAAAGTCAAATCTCAGACATGAAAGGACTCATTTTTCTTCTGAGAATCCAGGAAGGTCACAGAACCCTGGGGACTCAAGAGGAATTCAGATATAATATCAGTCTAAGGCTACCCCCATGTGACCAATGAACCCTTATAAAATGTGGCTAGTCCAGCTAGGTGTGGTGGCACATACCTGTAATCCCACCACTTGGGAGGCTAAGGCAAGAGGACTGCCAAGAATTGGAGGCCAGCTTGGAATACATAGTGAGACCCTGTCTCAAAAAAAATGTGTCTACTCCAAAATAAGGTATAAGCAAAATACAAACGATTTTTGAAGACTTAGTATGAAAAACTGTAAAATATCCATTAATATCCTTGTATTTTAATCCTTTAATCCTTATATGCTTTGTATTTTTAACATTGAGATAAATATATTTAAACTAACATCACTCTATTTTTAAAAAAATGTTTTAATGAGGCAATGTAGCTCCCATTATATTTGTAGGGTACAGCTTTGCTTTAAAGTGAAAGCTAATCCCAAAAAGGAAATGACTTTTCCACGTGCCAAGACTGAAACCAGAATCTCTTGACTCCTCAGTGAAGACTCCTTCCATTCTTAATGGGTTGTGGGAGCCAGTCTCAAGATGGCCCCTAAAGATCGTTACCCCTTACAGTTCCTATGATGGCCCTTTCACACAAGATAGGGCTCATCTGTTAGGAGGCTGTAGAAAATATCCATGTGACTTCCAAGAGTGGGTCATAAGAAAACATGGTGATTCTTACTTTGTCTCTCTCTGCCATCACTTGCTCTGGGGAAGCCAGGTAACCTGTCATGAGGACACACCAGCAGCCCTATGTATGGTCCATATGGTAAGGAACTAAGGCCTCTTGTCACAACCAGAACCAACCAGACAATTGAGCAGATTATCTCTGCAGCTGTCCTCTAGCCCCAGCTGATATCTTTAATGCAAGCTCATGAAGACACCCCAGCCTAGAGATACCTATGTAAGCCTATCTCAATTTCTTGACCCCCCCCCACAAAAATCATATTTACTATCGTTTCATGCAAAGTAGGTAACTAGCACACAGTCTTTCAAATGGAGGAATTGCATGTAAAAAAATTTCTCTGTTCAGCATCTGTGCAATGTGAGAAACTACTGACTTTTCCTATAGCCTGTGGCTTAGCTCAGAGCACCCTAACCAAACTAAATTACCAAATCTGGAGAATCCAACGCAGGACAAGACCTCATTTTATTTTTTTCAAGAAGCTTTTCCCTTTATTGCAGAAAGTACCCATGTACACCTTGAGAATGAAAAAAATAACGTTATCATGTCACTTCACCTGGGCCATCCAGAGATTTATATCCCACCCCAAAAAAGAAAAAAAAATTGAGTTTTGTCTTTTGAGATGTTGTCACTTTGTAGTGACAAACAGCCTCAAACTCATGGGGACCCTCCTGCCTCAGCCTCTTGAGTGATTCCCACAGAGTTAAAAAAAAAAAAACAAAAAAACCCCAACGAACTAGAGACCAGAATTGCTCAATCAGATACAATATTGAGAAAGTAACAAATAACTGAAAAATGACAGTCCATGATATCTGTTTTTCTATGTTGAAAAACTGTCAACAGTCATTCTGTTTTTATTCAGCATGTGCTGCTTTTCATGGTGAGTTCACATCCAGTACCTCTGAAGTAGACTGGGATAATAGCAACATACATGAGGAAACAGTGTCTCAGAGCTCATGGTTTGCCCTTATTATCATGGTCAGAGAATGACATCCCAGGTCTAGAATTGGGGTTCTGGTGACTGAAATCAGATTTGGTGCTTTCCAGTACAGAACATCCTAGTTCTGCTAATAGGAATGCCTTTTAGTTGAGGCTGTCCTCTGAGATCAATGTGCACTTGTAGGTTTCCTTGAAGGCCACAAGGAAAGGTGCCATTACTTCATCCACAGTAACATGCCTGTGGAGTTCCTTACTCAGGGAAGTGACTCCCGCTCCCACCAGTCCACAGGGCACAATGTGTTCAAACCAAGTGAGGTCCGTAGAGCAGTTCAGAGCCAGGCCATGGGATGTGACATGCCTTCCGCAGCGGACTCCTGCAAGGCAAGCCAAAGGGTCACAGAATATTCTCTACCCACCCTGGCTTCAGGATCCTCCCGGTGCGACAACTGGGCCAGATTACCGGTTTTCAGTATTTGTTTCTGAAACAAAGTGCATAGAATGGTAGAAGAAGCCAAACTGAAGATGGGGTTGGGGCTGTGTGGTTCTGCATCGACTGCCCTGCTTAGGAGGATTCTTTAAACAATGCGATTCTTTCATTTTTTAAAAGCACCGTTTTCCCATAGGAAGTGGCTCTCCGATTACAGTATTTCCATCTGCAACAACGAGTATTGTTTCTGAGGACCTGTCCGCCTCCCCTCCAAATATAAGGTATTTATTTGCACAACAAGCTAAAACCCTTAAACAAGACGTACAGCTTTGATTCAAAGGCGGCGCGTACTCTACGCTCGCCTCCATTGGTCCTCCCCGGGCTCCGCCCCGTGGCGCTCACCGATCGCGCAGATCTTGCTTTCGCCGAGCCAGACGCCGGTGTA